GTGGTGTGGTGGTGATGATGATGATGATGATGGTGATGCTGATGATGATGATGATGATGATGATGATGATGATGATGATGATGATGATGATGATGATGATGATGATGATGGTGGTGGTGCTGGTAGTGGTGGTGGTGGTGGTGGTGGTGGTGATGTCGTCGTCGTCGTCGTCGTCGTCGTCGTCGTCGTCGTCCTCGTCGTCGTCGTCTTCGTCGTCGTCTTCACTGGAGGCAAGTCGCCGGACTGAGCGCGCGTGCGGGCGAGAGCCCGCCACGGCGGACCTGCGCCGCGGAGCGGCGCCGCCCTGCGGGCGGGGCGCCCTCCGGAGGCGAGCGACGCCCGCGCCCGCGGGCCCGCGGGCCCGCCGCGGGCCGGGCGCGCGCGGGCGGGCGGCGGGCAGGGCCCGCGGCGGGCGGCTGCCGCGGCGCAGCGACGCCGCTCGTTCGCGACGCTGCAAAGAGCCGCGGCCGGCGGCGGCGGCGGCGGCGGCGGCGGCGGCGTTCGGGTGCCTCGAGGAGGGGGTCGGTGCAAGCGGGGGGTCAGCCAGCGCGCTGGATCCTGCAGGATGCTGCAGAGCCAGGGTTGCACGGACCCGGGCTGGCGCGCAGGATCCTGCACCGGCCCGGGGCCGGGGCGCCCCCGAGGCGCCGGCTCGCCAGGGGGGAAGCGGGTCCTGAGGGAAACGGGCCCTGAGGTTTCTCAAACGTGTCGGGCTCTCGGAGCTCTCCACGGGCCCCGGGGACTGCCGCGAGACGACTCGGGCCGACAAATCCGTCCTGGGGGGGGGGCAATGCACCAGGGTGCAGGGCCCGCTTCCCTCATGACCCGCTTCCCCCGTGTGAATCAGCCGCCCACCGCACCGATCCCGGCCACGCCCATCGCCTCGGAGGAGGAACGGGGTGCCGAATGAGGGTGCCCTTCCCTCGGTTCTGCCTCTGGGGGCCTCTTTGCGAGAGGCCGTGGCCCCATAGGGAGCTCCACCGAAGCCCCCAGTGCGACCGCCCGCATGCGTGCCGGAAACCCAATTTGGCATTTTCACCCACCCTGTACAGCGCTTCGTGGCCCCATAGGGAGCTCCACCGACGGTCTTAGTGCTACCGCCCTCATGCGTTCCCCCCACCCAGTGCAGCGCTTCGTGGCCCCATAGGGAGGGTCACCGAAGAAGATATTCACAATCGCGGTACCCACAACTACATATGGTTGGGTCCTTCGCCAAGATAACTGTCATATCGTTTTTTGCTCGCATGGTTCGTTCGTTGACTCGTTGAGTGGTGAAGCGTTGAACAGTAGTCGCAATGCGCGCAGGAGGGCGGCGACTTTGGATCAGTCGAGCTAGTTGGCGCATTCCGCTCGTCGCCGCGGCTTTTGGCCTTTCGCTTTCTCCTCAGGGAGCCCACCGATGCCATTCCGTATACAAGCTCGCCTTTCATTTCAGCAATGCAAGGATGGTGCAGCTACAGGAATTCCACTCCCTCTCCTTCCTCATGTTGGGCTTCCTCACGCGAGTCTGGCGCGCGGCCCAATACGTTTCGATGCCTTTCGTTTCGCTGGTTGTGCAGCTCGGCCACTCTCGAACGCATGCCGCATATTTCCTGGTCCTCTTTCCTGCCGCCAGCCGTCTTCCGAGTTTGTTTGCTTCCGTTCTCCGTCTCCCTGACCGGTAGAACGATTGCCTCCACTGACGTTCCTGCGAGCGTCGCTCGCCAAGGCTTCTCCGCCACCAGCTCGCGCATGGCGTCCGCTGCGAGGCGATGCTGGTCGCGGGTGCGAGAGGAACGCATTGTGGTGGCACCGCGCGTTCTTGAGTTTTTGGGACGGGAAGAAGCGTCGGTGCACGAGCGAGGCAGTGACTGACCAGCTCAAGCACTGACCGGCTGAAGCAGTGACCGCCTGACGGTTGTCGGTTGAAGGTTGCCGGCTGTCGGTTGCCTGTTGTCGGTTGAATTTGGTCGGTTGGTGGATGTGGTCGACGGTTGCGGTTGCAGTTCACATTTCTCATCGAGGAGCCCGAGGAACCAGCTTGCACATTAGAGAAAAGAACTCGTGCACTCGAGGCTGAAGCTCGAGTGCTCCAGGAAGAAGCTGCCGAACAAGAGAAAGGCGAATGCAGCTTACAGTCTCTCGAAACGCTGCTCTTGGGAGCCTCCGTGGACGAGGTTTTGAAGTTAAACGACGCTTCGAGGAAGACGATGCAGTGCCCCACTGGCCGAATAGTGCACCGCGACGACATCAGCAATTGGGCGGCCGCGCCACCCGCCGCACGAGAGCTTGACATAGGACTCTGGAGAAAAGTAAGAGTACATGTATCAGCAGCTTTGGGTCTGCGCTCGCGACGCAAACTGACTGCACTTGCGCACGGCTGCGGAGCTGGATCTCGACAGACAGCTGGGCCCAGATGATCTCGAGCCAACAGGCACATTCCAGCCGGTCGATGTGGGGCGCATCCTTCGCGGACGTGAGGCGACACGGTGCACAGAACATTCGAGGAACAAGTATGCGG